GCTTTTGTACAAGGAAATCATGCCTCACCAATCTATTAGAATTCTTTGAGGGGGTGGACAAAGGTGATCTAGTGTACTTGCACTTTCAGAAAGCTTTTGACAAGGTCCCCCACCAAAGGCTCTTAAAAAATGTAAGCGGTCATGGGATTCCTCTCATGGATCAGTAACTGACAGGAAACAAAGGATAGGAGTAAATGGTCAGTTTTCATAATGGAGAGAGGTAAATAGCAGGGTCCCCACAGATCTGGTTTGGGACGTATGCTGTTCCATACAGGACTGAAAAAAGGGGTAAAAGCAAGGTGGCAGAGGTTTGCAGATAATATAAAATTACTCAAGATAGTTAAGGCCCACACAGGCTGCAAAGAGTTACAAAGGGATCTCACAAAACTGGGTGACAAAAAGGAAGATAAAATTCAATGTTGACAAGTGCAAAATAAGCCACATTGGAAAAAAAATAATCCCAGCTATAAATACAAAGTGATGGGGTCTAAATTAGCTGTTACTAATCAAGAAAGATCTTGGGGTCATCATGGATAGTTATCTGAAAACATCTGCTCAGTGTACAGCGGCAGTCAAAAAAGCTAATAGAATGTGAGGAACCATTAGGAAAGGACTAGACAATAAGACAAAATATCATAATGCCACTATATAAACCCATGGTACACCCACACCTTGAATACTGCATGCAGTTCTGGTCACTCCATCTCAAAAAAAGATATATTAGAAATGGAAAAAATACAAAAAAAGGACAACAAAGATGATTAGTGGTATGGAACAGCTTCCATATGAGGAGAGATTAAAAAGACTGGGACTGTTCACCTTAGAAAAGGCGACTAAGGGGGAAGGTATAAGAGAGGTCTCTAAAATCATGAATCGTGTGGAGAAAGTGAATACGGAAATCTTCTTTAACTCCTTCACATAACACACAAACCAGGGGTCACCAAATGAAATTAATAGGCAGCAGGTTTTAAACAAATGTAAGGAAGTACTTCTTCACACAGTGCAGTCAAGCTGTGGAACTCGTTGCCAAGGGATGCTGTGAAGGTCAAAAGTATAACTGGGTTCAAAAAAGAATTAGATAAGTTCATGGAAGATAGGTCCATTGATGGCTATTAGTCAAGATGGCCAGGGACGCAATCCCATACTCCAGATATCCCTAAACCTCTAACTGACAGAAGCTGAGACTGGACGACAGTGGATGGATCATTCGATAAATTGCCCTCTTTTGTTCATTCTCTAAAGCATCTGGCAGTGGCCACTATTGGAAGATAGAATACCAAGCTAACTGGACCATTGGTCTGACCACTATGGCCTTTCCTATGTTCTTATAACTGTTCTAGCCTTTTGCCCTCCTGTACAGACGTCTCAAGTACTTGATGCCTTCCTGGAATGGGCCGGAGTCAGCTCAATGTCCACCTGATCTTCTGTGAAATTTCCTGAAATACATGTTCCTTCTGCTTTGGGCAAAGTTGTGGAGGACATTCTACTCCAATCACAAATTAATCTGCACCCAAGTGTAGTTGGAGGACCAGGCAGCTGCTCTCAAAGTAGGATCCACATTTACCTATATTGATCAAAAGAGTATGGTAGACACCTGTTCTGATATGGTCACCACAGCTCGCTATTATTGGTGAAAACGGGAGGACAGGGTCCTTTATGGTTTGAGTAGGACTCGGGAAGAAAAGTATTCAGTGCATTGTGGGACTGGGGGTGGATGACTACTGACACTCGAGACCTGGTACAAGCTCCTTATTCCACATTGCAAATTGGTATGGATATGGGGTCATGTCCGAGCCTGAGACACGTACTTACCCACACACCTCAGGCACACTAGCTTACTCACCCTCCACTCACCTTCAGACCCATGCTTTTGGGTTTTAAACAAGGACATTGGGGGATTATGGGACAAGACACATGGACAGTCGCTACTGTAGACATACCCTCAGTTAAGTAGGTTTTAATGAACCCAATACCTGCATTTTAAATTGTGAATAAAACACTCCCTTCTTAAGCCTTCTCTACACACACAAGTTACACCAGTTTAACTTAAGTTGTGATGTTGCACCAATTTAAGCCTTGTCTACTTTGCACCACAGTGCAGACTTCGGGGATGTGAAATGGAGAGTGCAACAAAGTATTGCACTCTAACTGTCCCACACAATTGCTGCTGTTGCGAACAAAAAGGTACCTAGCTTGTGTTAGCATAGTCTTGTTTGAAAGAGAACTATGTTAAAGCAAACTAGACACCTTTTAGTTAGTGCCAGCAACATCCATGTGGGACAGTTAGAGCACAATACTACGGGGATGTGAACTGAAGAACGCACCAAAGTCTGTGCTGCAGCGCTGCGTAGACATAGCCCTAGTTAAATTGGTGTAACTGTGTATGTGTGTGGACACTAGTCTAGTCTACACAGATTTTGTACCAGTATAACTATTTCAATTAGGGAGTGCTGTATTTAGTAATCACAATAATTGTACTGGTATAATTCCTATTGTACAGGAATTTTACAACTTTTATACCAGTATAGAGCACCTTTATACTGATGTAATGGTTTCCACAATAGGAGGGTTATAATGTTTTGACCAGACTAATATAGTTGAGTGTATATTGTGTTTAGGCAAGTCGTACATCAATTTAAAGCAATATCCACAGATGAAACTGCATTGCCTTACCTAAATTGGTGTAATATCATATCTTTAGTTATACTGGTGCAACTTTCTGTTTAGACCAGGCCCTAGTTTCACAAGATTTTTTACTTCCTTGGTACTTGCACTGTCATAATCCTAACAGTTTTTCAATTTGTCAGCATCCCAAGGTAGACAAAACCTGAATTTCTAATGTAAAAAACAAAAATAAGACTTCCAAAAAGACGTTTCAGGCCTTCTTTACACTTCAAATATGTCATTTATTGCTTAATACTTATTTCCCTTTTTAGCTCAACCTTAAATAAGTCACATGAGAAATTCTTCAAACAATTTGGTGTTGCAGATTTTGATGTTCTTAGATCCTCCTACCACATTGTGAAAAGCTCAAAATGAGTCTTGAATTTGCATCTTCCACATGACAGTACAGTACAGTCTGATTTCTGTGTTGAGTCACTGATCAGGCCAAGTTAAATACACTTTATTGTATATTGTTATGTAAGGCTGTCAATCCATGCTTTTGGTTCTTTTGACCCTATCAATGATGTAACCCAGGGGTAGGCAACCTGTGGCACACGTGCCGAAGACGGCACACAAGCTGATTTTCAGTGGCACTCATGCTGCCCGGGTCCTGGCCACCCGTCTGGGGGGTTCTGCATTTTAATTTAATTTTAAATTAAGCTTCTTAAACATTTTAAAAACCTTATTTACTTTACATACAACAATAGTTTAGTTATATATTATAGACTTATAGAAAGAGACCTTCTAAAAACGTTAAAATGTATTACTGGCACGCAAAACCTTAAATTAGAGTGAATAAATGTAGACTCGGCACACTGCTTCTGAAAGGTTGTCGACCCCTGATATAACCCCACATCACTGTTGACCTTTCCTTTTTTCCCCCCATCATCCATTGTCTGCTTCCCAAGATAAGTCATGGTATATTTTGGTTGGACTGAAACAAATACTGGTTTACATTTTTCAGAATGTATGCTTGTAAATGGGTATTTTTCTGTCAATATTTTTTGTGTGCAACCCCAAAATAAATTAGGCAGAACTAGAGGATTTTCAGCCTTTCCTTCTCCACACATGCAAGAATGAAACATACATCATGCTTCTAAAATGGTGTAAAAGCAAATCTGAAAACAGTATCTCTATAAGAACAAGCTTTATATTCACCACTGACTTGCCTCCTAGTAATTACAAATTTTGCTTTATCATTATTTACTAAGAGGAAGCTGAGACCCAGCTTCACTTCTTTCTTTTTAGAAATTTTTAGCTACCATAATAGAAACCCTGATCTGGAAACTTTCAGAACTTTATCCTTGGGCCATCACAAATGGAACCATAGCAAAAGAGACCATATTGGAAGGTTTAAGCCACCACTTCAGCACACCTATCCTCTACTAACTATGGGAGAGAGCTGAAAACACAAGCTTTTTAACAAGATAGGTTATAAAAACTATACAAGTAACAGCTAAAAATAAAGAGCTTTGCAAAAAATTCAATAAACAGTATCTTGGGCTGATCCAGGGGAAGTATTTTTCACTCACCTCTATGAATTAAGGGGCAACTGTTGTCCTCAGCGCACAGCCTGATTAAGGGGTTCTCCAAAGGAATGAGAAGAGAGAAAAGAATCCTCTCCCAAACCACCCGGACAATCCCTTTGGCTGTTGCTGCAGTAGCCCTTTATGGCAGGTGCACCATCCCCCGATTCAACTGCAGCACACACTATTGCACACCTTCTGCACAGGTCCCCGAAGTCATGCTCTGTCTTTCCCCACAACTGAATTACACCAGTTCCCCTTTATCCAGAGTCATCCAAGGGAAGGAAGGATTTGTCCTTAAGTCCATAAATCTACTCTGCTTTGTGCTCCATAGCGATCAACACAATAGATTACAAATATAATGCAAATTACATTAATTCTTCAAACGAGGTTCAGACTATTATCATACATTGTCCTGTGGATTAACCTTTATTTAATGAACTATAAGATCAATGAACTGCATGAGAAAACACTGACTAAAATACTACAAAACTTAACTTCTTAGATCATACTGTATGGTAAATATTTGTAAGTGAATTATATAATCAGCTAATATTTTACCTAAGATTTAAAGACGTGCAGATAAATACTGCATATGCCTTAATTTTTAAAATTTCACTTATCTTTTATTAACGATTCCATCGCTGTTTTTAATTTCTAAAATAAAGTAAAATCTGTTTTAAACTATAGTTTCCGCAATTGCCAAGATATAATCTTTACTCTTTAAACTTGCAGGTATAGTATATTCCCAAATCAAATACATATGTAGTAATCAAGCTGCTTATGGAAGTGTACAGTGTTATGACTTACGATTACATCTTTTCTGCACAAATCTCAGTTTGCAGGCAGTCCGATATGTTGAAAGTCTGATGACATCAAAATTCTGAGCCCCTATAAATCAAAATGAAAAAACCCTATTTACTTTTCAACCTTTTTTCTTTAACATTCAATTCATGTGGTAAAATATTTCCCTCAAGTACATTATTGCTTGGCGCTAGTTAATCAAATCTAAACCTTTGTCATTTTTCAACTGTGAACTCCTCAAGGTATAGAAATTTAGTATGTGCGACGCTTAAGAAATGTTAGAAAAAGCACAGTATAAACTGATGCAAGTTTGGGATAGCTATATTATTTCCAACTGGCAAATTCACACATGTATTATGAAAATAAGCCCAAGTGACTAATAGTAGAGACTTTCTAATGCCACAAACACTTATTTGTTCATGCCACTTTTGAAAGACTTTTGAGATTAAAGTCATTTGACTTTACAATGTGAGGCAATATATATATATATATATTTTAATTAGTTTATGCCAGCTTCAGAGACAAAACAATTGGAAAAAATGGTTACTTGGTACCTGTATAGCAACTGTTCTCCCAGATGGATTGTCCATAGATACATTCCACTGTTGGTGTATGTGCACCCAGTACACTTGAGTCAGCAGGGAGCAATGATGAGAAGGACAGGAGATCCAGTCTCCCCCCACACATTAGCCCCTGACCAGAGGTAGGTGTCATAACAGCAGAGCCCCTTCCCCACTGGCATAATGGAGAGATGGCCAGGCCAACTCTAAGTGGCATTGCAACCCTGTGCACCTTATCGCACACCCCCGCATTTGCAGTCCTTCTGACTCCCATGGGCACCTCAACCCCCAGTCCCGAGGAGGGTGGGAGAATTGGATCTGGGCTTTTGGCACCTACTGGGGAAGTGGAGACAGGAGGATGCGGTCTGGGTGTCCCAGAACTGCCTGGCCCCTGGTGGGTATGGTGCTCTCCATCCTGACCACCTCTCTGGATAAGGGCCCAGGACTGGCTGTGGGATAGGGAGATTGCAGAGATGGGTGCAGGAGGCGAGCTTGAAGCTGGATGTGGGGCAATGTTGGGGAAAAGAGTACAGGGCTGGATGTGCAGGGGGAGAGTGTAGGGCTGGGTGCAAAGGCAGCATCAGATAGCTCAGGACTGGGCATAGGGGACAGCTGTCAGAGAGCTCAAGGCTGGGTGTGGGAATAGTGGGGGTTGGGAAGGGATCAGAGTGTGCAGCATTAGGAGCAGAGCAACAGAGAGAGAACTCTGGGACTCCTCCTTAGGAAAATTCTGGTTGTGCCAGAAATTTTTAGTAACAGTAGTGTTGGAGCAGTGCACATGCCCTGCCTGTCATGTCTGTAATGGAGGGCTTAAAGGGTGGGATTACCTCAGCTCCTTCATACCACAAACTTGGTAACAACTCAAGCAGTGGGGTACGAGGGAGGGTGTGGAATATATATGTGCACAACACATTCTGAAGAACAGTTACTGTACGGATAACACTTTTTTTCCTCCTTCAAATGTGCATATATACTAGCAGTTCTTATTTCAGGTGGTGGAGTCCTCTGGAACAAGGACTGTAAAACTGATTCACTAAAGTGCACAACCAACCTGGGATGCCTGAGTAACAGTGCAATGTCTTGAAAAGGTATGTACTGATGACCATGTAAGCAGCTTTGTAAACATCCAGGATGGGCACTTTACTGAGAAAGTAGCTTGAAACCTGGTATAATGGGCATTAGAACATAAGAAGGGCCATACTGGGTCAATACAAAGGTCCATCAAGCCCAGTATCCTGTCCTCTGACAGTGGCCAATGGCAGGTGCCCCAAAGGGAATGACCAGACAGGTTATCATCAAGTGATCCATGCCCCGTGACCCAATCCCAGCTTCTGGCAAAGAGAGGCTAGGGACACCATTCCTGCCCATCCTGGCTAATAGCCATTGATGGACCTATCCTCCATGAATCTATCTAGCTCCCTTTTGAACCCCGTTATAGTACTGGCCTTCACAACACCCGCTGGAAAGGAGTTCCAGAGGTTGACAGTGCGTTGTGTGGAAAAAATACTTTCTTATGTTTGTTTTAAACCTGCTGCCTATTAACTTCATTTGGTGGCCCCTTGTTCTTGTATTATGAGAAGGAGTAAATAACACTTCCTTATTTACTTTCTCTATACCACTCATGATTTTATAGACCTCTATCATAGCCCGCACTTTTCCAAGCTGAAAAGTCCCAGTCTTATTAATCTCTCCTCATACGGAAACCGTTCTATACCCCTAATCGTTTTTGTTGCCCTTTTCTGAACCTTTTCCAATTCCAATATATCTTTTTTGAGATGGGGCGACCACATCTGCATGCAGTATTCAAGGTTTAGCGTACCATGGATTTACATAGAGGAAATATGATATTTTCTGTCTTATTATCTATCCCTTTCTTGATGATTCCCAACATTCTGTTCGCTTTTTTGACTGCCACTGCACATTGAATGGATCTACAATGATTCCAAGATCGCTTTCTTGAGATGTAACAGCTATCTTGAGTAGTTTTGTACCATCTGCAAATTTTGCCACCTCACTGTTTATCCCTTTTTCCAGATTGTTTATGAATATGTTAAATAGGACTGGGCCCAGTACAGATCCCTGGGGGACACCACTATTTACCTCTCTCCATTCTGAAAACTGACCATTTATTCCTACCCTTTGTTTCCTGCCTTTTAACCAGTTACCAATCCATGAAAGAACCTTCCCTCTTATCCCATGACTGCTTATTTTGCTTAAGAGCCTTTGGTGAGGGACCTTGTCAAAGGCTTTCTGAAAATCTAAATACACTATATCCACTGGATCTCCTTTGTCCGCATGCTTGTTGACCCACTCAAAGAATTCTAGTAGATTGGTGAGGTATGATTTCCCTTTACGAAAACCATGTTGACTATTTCCCAACAAATTATGTTCATCTATGTGTCTGACAATTTTGTTCTTTACGATAGTTTCAACCAATTTGCCCGGTACTGAAGTGAGGCTTACTGACCTGTAATTTTCAGGGTCACCTCTGGAGCCCTTTTTAAAAATTGGCGTCACATTAGCTATCCTCCAGTCATTTGGTACAGAAGCTGATTTAAATGATAGTTTACAGATGACCGTTAGTAGTCCTGCAATTTCACATTTGAGTTCCTTCAGAACTCTTGGGTGAATACCATCAGGTGCTGGAGACTTATTACTGTTGAGTTTATCAATTTGTTCCAAAATCTCCTCTAATGACACCTCAATTTGGGACAATTCCTCAGATCTGTCACCCAAAAAGAATGGCTCAGGTTTGGGAATCTCCCTCATATACTCAACAGTGAAGACCGATGCAAAGAATTCATTTAGTTTCTCTCTCTCACAGGAGTTGTTAGATAAATCATAACAGGTCCTTATACAAAATGAAATCCACTGAGATTCATTGAGCAGAGCTGCCTTCCCTTTCATTCTTTTGCATATGTCATGCTCCAAATGGTCACATACTACTGATATAAAAGGACAGAGCTCTGCAAACATCCAGAGAATGAAGTCTCTCCCCATGATTGTGTGAATGATGTTTCAGGAGGAAAAACTGGCAAGCAGACAGATTGGTTTTAGTGAAAATCCAAAATGATTTTCAACACACTTTGAACGCAGCCTCAAAGAAACTTTGTCCTTGTGGAGAATCATGTCAGGTGGGTCCGCCATAAGAGCCTGCAACTCAAACTCTCCTGACAGATATTATCACCACCAAAGAATCACTATTTTCGCCAATAGGTGAAAGAGAGAGCAAGAAGCCATTGGCTCAAAAGGGAAGCCCATAAACCACAACAGGAGAACATTGAGATCCAAGGCAGAACTGCATCCAAAATAAGTGGGTAAATTCTGATAAGCTCTTTGAGAAACATGACCACCCTGGGATGTGAAAAAAAAACAAGGTACCCACTTTTAGCCCACGAAAGCTTATGCCCAAATAAATTTGTTAGTCTCTAAGGTGCCACAAGGACTCCTCCTTGTTTTTGCTAATACTCTGAAGCTCTATCAAGAAGCAGTAAACAGAATCAGAGTAGGGGTGAATCACCTTTCCAACAGGAGTTCTCTGGACTTCTTAGTTCGAGATAAGGACCTGCAAATTGAACATTTGTCCTTTGCCTAAACAAAAGAAACAAACTGAATGCCTATTGTTAAAAGGCAATGTATCCCTGCAGGAGTCCTGCTGTTTAAAGCCTGGACACTTCTGCATATTTACAGCAGTGTAAACTCCAGGAAGGCATTAAAATAAGAGATCCTTCTAAGGGATAAACTACCGCTAAGCTAACACTAATGAACTATTTACAATAAGAATTTAACCACACTAGCTAGCTAGAAAGAAACTATATCTCCAAGAGACACAGGGAGCTCTGATTCTCATCACAGGCAGTAAGATGGAATTGCAAGGGAGTCGTAGCGGCCCCGCCCTTCATGCCATCAACTGCAAGCACAAAGACACATATGGCACATGCAACTACTCCAACAGTACTGCTACCCAAAGCCTCTCACTCAAGTGCACTGGGCAGACCACCAACTGCAGAATGTATAAGTGCACAACCACTTGAAGGCAAACTAAAAAGTGTAAGACTTGAGGAAAACTGCCTAGAATATTTTTTCGGTAATCCAATGCATTAAAATATTAAGACCATATTTCTTTCATGAAAAACTGCGAAAATGTACTTTCTTAGGAATATTACATATGACTATTTCCTGTTCAGTCTGATATTGCTTCCTGACCAAATGCAGAGTTAAACCAAGGAGACCCCTAGAGGGGGTTGATAAGGAACCCAGGGAGAGTGAGACAATACAGCTTCTCAGTACCCACTTCAAAAGAATTAAGACAACAATGTCTGGGCCATCAATTGAGTGAAGAAACAACCTGCCTGGCAAATTAAGATGTTTTATCCCTTCCCAAGCCTAGGGTTCAGATCAAAAAACCCGGAGGGGTCAGAAAGGCGCCCTTGATAGGAAAGAGGAGGGAAAGAAGGGGGGAGAGTGGTCGGCTCAGGTGGAAGCTGACAGAGGGAGAGAGTCAGCATGCAGTGATCCTGACACAGA